TCGAAAAGCGGCGATGTCCACTCTAAAATTCTGGTTAAAATCCTATGATCATCAATTATATGAGTAAGTATTATCGGTATTTGGCAGAAACGCCGATCGTGACACCTTTTTTCACTGGTTGTTTACGTTTCCATAAGGGCGCGGGATATGCGAGGTGGGGACGGGGAGGAGAGGGGTACGGTAGGGGACGCGGCACAGCAAAGGGGGAGAGCAATAATTACGGCATACTCACCGACAAATCGGTTGTCTGTAAGGCAAAAAAAAGAAAAAGGCTGGCTGGGAGTCGAACCCCTGACAGTTTCAGACTGGTCACAATTGAACAACCTCAGCTGCCACAGAAGTGAAGGAGATAAAATATATATCTGGGATGAGGAAAGCACTCCCAAAACAAATTGGGTACCCGTCGTTCCTGTTTAAGCGGGTAGGCGACAACACTGGTCAACAGTTGGTCGGATCTAACAGTCTGGCTGCTGGCGTGGACACACCGGATCCCATCCGAACTCCGAAGTTAAGCACGCGGGGCCCCGTGTGAAAGCGGGTTGGGTACTCCCTCTTTTTCACATTCTTTGAAAAATAGTTTGGCTGGTTTGGCCCTAAACGGCGCCTCTATATTCTGTTCGGAATGCGCTCCTCCACCGCTCCCCCCTCGCCCTCCGCGCCTGCACGCTAGTACGTAGGCAACCCATCGAGCTGCCGCGTATTCTTACGGACACCCGGTATCGTGGTCGCGGGATGTGATTCTTTCCTGGGGTAGGCAATCCCGCCTCGCTTGTCCATGATGTGATCCTTTGGGGATGCTTCCCGTCCCGCGCATCGTTGTGTGGCTCCAGGCGGCAACGCCAGGGAAGTGCCAAGTGACAATAGTGAAATGATCAGGATAATAAACTATTATGGGCGATTTGCTGATTAAAAATAATTATATTTGGCGACTTTTAAGAAATATGCACCAGCCCGTGTGTACACGACGTTTGGAGCTGAATCGTATTTGTCGTGGGAGTGTCATCGGCGTGTTCGGGAGGTCCCCAATGACGTCCCCGAGAACCCGGACGACATCGGCACTACCACATTTGGACTCAGCGTTCGAAAAAATCCCCGAACACGATATTTCAGTCGTCCTGGTCGTTCCGAGGTTGACGGTCGGTCGGTCGGTCGGTCGCGGCCAAACCGTATCTTATTTTGACAGTCCCCCCCGGGCAGAGGAAGTAACCGGAAGTAACTCAGGCTGGCCAGCCATATCTTGGAGGAGCAGGGAACAGGACGTGCAGCCCTATCTCCCCGGCGGCCGGCGGCGTTTTCCTTCCATGTTAACAGAATAAATTCGACTCGAGGTAAATGCAGTCCCTTTGGTTGCGCTTGCAATGCCGAAGTCGCAAGCACAACATGAACAGAACAAACGTGAACTCATTCTTTTAAAAGTCACATTTCGCGAACAAAGCAAATTATTTGTGAACACTACGTTGCTTTACCTTAAAAAACATATACAGTTTACAAAGTAACGCTCTCAGAGAGACCAAACACGCTCATTGCGATGCACGGGATTCTTATGGCAGGTCTCGTGTCAATCGAGTCAATGGAGTCACATACGTACTTTACAAAACTTGATTTAATTATTAAAAAGTAATTACACGACGAAACAGGATTCCTAAAACTAGTTGCCAGCTGAACTTTTCGACAAGGGACAGCGCCTGTGAAAATAAGGTATCCACTTTTAGTACCACCACCCATGAAAAGCAAAGCGAGTCGAGGTCAAAGCGAGTTCGGAGTAGAACGTTAAAGCATTTCCGTATTCAGGGTTGCCACGAAGTCCCACTTTCCAAATATCCTGACATTTTCCTGACCAAATCCTGACGAAAAAGTGACTTTATCCTGACATTTTCAGAACAAGTTGACAGCAAAATAGCGCTATTTTTAAGGGGTTAAGAAAAAAAATTGGGTATTTTTTTTAGGAAAAATATATCAAAGTGGCAAACTACCACAGCGCCACGCCTCTGGCCGAAGTAGCGCCGAGCATCAGGGCGATAACCGGTAAAAACTATTTATCCTGACACTTTTACCCCAAAATCCTGACATTATCCTGATTATCCTGACAACTTTTGAAAATCCTGACAAAATCCTGATTATCATGATTATCCTGACGCGTGGCAACCCTGGTATTACTTACAATGTGAAAGTTTTTGGTATGACCTTAATCCATTGCCGCAGGTCCTTGCACCATTCGAGGTGTCCCCCTGGTGGGGGAGGGTACGGGGGAGTATTTTTCAAGAGGTTTTTCCGGTATTTCTCTGGAATCTCCGGCCTTGACGGAAAGCGTAATAAGTCAGGTGAACAAGGCGAGAGTATCTGTGTCTGGACATCGGGGACGACAGGGTGCAGAAACTGCGGTACGCCATCCTAAAACAACAAGACAAAATATCAGTTCAGTGCAATAAATCAAGCGTAATCGATCAAGTAACAATTGACAAAAGTACGTCTAAGGCGGACACAGAAGACACACCGTCGTCAACCCGGGGTAAGCGTCCTCGTCCTCCTCCTCCTCCTCCTTGACTCCGGCCTCCTCGATGTCGACCTCCACGGTCAGCCCTTCCAACGCCCGTCCCGAGAAAGGGTCCTTGACCGGGCCGGGCTGGTCCTCGTCGGCCTCGCCTCCGGTCGGCTCCTCGCCGAGCCCCTCGTCGTCGTCGACCTGCACGGCGAGCACTGGGCGCAGGGCCAGCGGGCGGGGCTGGAGCCTGGCCGCCGCCTCTGCCGCCTGCTCGCACCAGCGCTGCGCCCGCGCCTCCTCCAGCTCCGCGGCCCGCTGCGCCAGGACCCGCTCGCGCCAGGCCCGCGTGTGCTCCGCGGCCCGCGCCCGCCGCTGCACCCCCTCCTCCTCCGTCTCCAGCGCTTGCCGCGACGCTCTGGCGCGCCGCCCGTACATGCGCTTCTCCATGAGCTTGGTCCCCACGGACTTCTTCTTCCTCGGCATTGTGCCTCCTGGTGGAATAAGCACGGGACGTGACATGTCGTTCACAATGAGCTACAGGACTGGCACACAAATCATCGGACACATCTAGTAAGCGTCAATATGTCATTGACATACAGTTATATCAGTGACACACACCAGGGGACTGTTTCGCCCTATACACTTCTGTGGTTATGCAGCTCGTTATGCAGCCACCGCAGTCCTAAGGCAAGCCCGCCTGCACGCCTGCGTGCGGTACAGTACAACTACAGATCTGTGCGGGCTGCATCTAGCCACTTGGTCACTGAAAGCTGACAGCAGGTGTATGCAGCAGCAGCACAAGTGCCAAAGACTGCAAAAAGACTGCAAATTCACAACTGATCACAATGTCTGGTCTGTATAAGACATCTTTTGCACATTTCTGAATGATATGCCAAATTTATAAGTCAGTAGGATATGTAACCTACTTAAGAATAATAATATCGGACTTGAGGTTGGGCAGAAGTATCTTCAGTGTATCTGCCATGTTACCATCTTACAGTAAAATTAAAAATTGTCCCGTAACAAAGAGTCCACAGAATCTTAAGGACTATTTAAATGAGAATTTTTTTTTAAAAAAAAAATCTCTGTGCAATTCTTTTCCAACATAGAAAAGATGGTTACTATATTTTTGAGATGTCTGACAATATGCTAACAATGTCTTCTGCTGCGTCGAAAGTTAGCTTCCGAACGGTAAGAATTGGGAGTGTTGGAAATGAAATAAAATGTTCAAGTGAAAACATTGCAGACAGACGAAAATGAATAAAACTAGAAATTTAAGTGAAACAAAATGATTTATGATTTTGTTCAACAGTAACTGCTTTAAATGAAAAGGTGTGTTTTTTTTGCACTTGGGACACACAACAAAATTTTTTAAAGGACACCTCGTGAAGAACAACATTTCCTGGCAGTCGAAAAAAATATCTTTCTTTCTGTCGAAGTCTACTGCGTTGACAATAACTTATGAAAAACAAAACAAAGGGCTATTGTAGTTACTCCTAGGATATTGCTTTAGACTACTCAATGATTATTCATTACAACTTGTTCATTTATATTTTTGTTGAATGTGAAGATTAAAATTTAACACAGTCTACAAAACTGATGTAAATTGATGAATCCCTAATGCCGGATTTAGTCTCGTGTGGCGAGGCCCGTAATTCTGTCCTCACCTCATCTGAGGCAAGGGAATCACAAATTTCGAGGGCTCTGATTGGCTTGCCAAGCTTGGATAGCCAATCACAGCTTTGAGGCCCGTGCCTCAGCTGAGGTGAGGACAGAATTACGGGCCTCGCCTCACGAGACTAAATCCAGCAAAATTGTTTCATGTCAAAGATATACATATTGACCAGACGCTAACCTAAACAGAGTAGCAGCTTTAATCTAATTTTCTAGGAAAGAGAAAAAAATCATGATTTAAATTTTGGATAAATTGATTCACTAAGACTCAAGTGTATTGGGGCAGAGCTATATAACCTTCCGAAGTACGAGACATTTGGATCCCAAATTTCCATCTCCTTAAACAAATATCCTTGTTTGCAAATGCAAGCACTACGTAAAAGTAAGCAAGAAAGTATTTTGACAAAGAATTGTTGAACCATTCAATAACCTATCGAAAAGTCTTTCTTAAATTAACAATTAAACAAGAATACTTACAAAACAAACGCTTTGCTCGCAGAATCACAGTGAACTTTCTTCCAAAGGTAAATGGAAGTCTTAAAACAAAACCGGAATCTAAAACAAAATGCGACATATTTTGGAACTGTGCTTTCTAAGACTAACCATATAAAACAATTTCGCACGAAAAGTAAGTAGATGTAAATAAAAAACAACATACAGAGAACCTAACCTCTGTCTGTATATACGTTGTTTACTTAATTTAATACTCACCACCTCTGAAATATGATAAAACTCCATATTTCGTATCGAATTTCCTTCATTTTTAACGAAATAGGAAGATTCAATCATGACAACAACCACAGCAATAAAATCAAAAAGAAACGTAACAACAGCTGACAACTGATTGACAGACGTCGTGCATAGAACGTATTTGCTATTCGCAGTTCATAGTTCAGGATAGTGTCAATAATACCAATACCTGCTAATACCAGCGGAGACGTTCGGGGAACAGTGGAAACTTCAGGCATCGGTGTCACCTTAAATTTTGAAGTTTACCGGGTGTCCAAGGCTAAAACATGCCAGCACGTTGGGTTGCCTATGCATTGGCTGCAGGGGCTGCAGGGGCCGGGGCCCAGCGGGGAAGGAAGAGGGGAAGCGCCACCCGCCTCGGGCATAGGCAACCCAACGTACTGACACCCGGTACAATACTAGAGTAGACACTCAGCCAATTAATAAGCATTTGTTTTTTTGATTATTGAAGCAACTTTGCTGTGGAGATATTGGATTATCCATTGGAAACTATATTTCTTCCAAAGTAGCACATCCCCCTCCCCGCCCTTCTGAACGCCTCCCCGTTCTGTAGCCAGTGTTTGTCTATCGGAAGTGTAATTTTGCCCGACTCGAGTGCACCACCATCTCCGCCCCGCCCCTCTTCCCTCTGCTCGTGCAGACCCCCCCCCCCACACCCACACTTGCCCCCTGTCCGCAAACCTGTCCTCGTCCGCGGGATGGCCCATGCTGTCAGCGGCGGCTGTCCACCTCCACTGTCCGGCCTTGTTGACACTGAGGAGCGGGCAGGCATTGGATGGCCTCGCCACCACCTCAACACCAACCACCACTCCATCACCCTGGCGGCCGATACCGAAGGGAAAACGGCAAGAAGGGGAGGTCGGGGCGAAAAAGCTGTTTGTTGCCTTCTATCAGGTGAGGTGAAGCTCGTAACGCTGTCTAAAGAAAAAGAAAGGCAGAAATGGACAAGAAAGATACTTAAGATTGCGCCCCCCCATAAAGTGTTCACTTCAGCACAGCCCACAAGGTGTGAGCAATATGGGATACACGGCATAGCAGCCGTGTGAAGTCATTGGCCCGTCGAGTGGCTGCTTCACGGCTGCCTCCAACTGGGATGTCGGGTCGGGTGCCACTAACGTTAAGGTAGTGAGCGAGGGTGAGCCACCTGATTGGGAGTCTTAAATCTGTGCTACAGAACCCCTGAATGTACGCAACCCACGCGCCCCCTCCCCCCCCCCCTCTCCAATCAGCCCCCTGCCCGTCCTTCGTGTCGCCCCGGGGGACGTTCATTGCGGAGACGCCTCTAATTCAGAGTTGTGTGAATGGCGGTTTTTGCATTCGAATCGAATCGGATCGAATCCCACTCTGCTACCTGAGTTGTTTGGCGGGAGGTGGGTGGATGTGCCCGAGAAAGGCAGTACGCCAATAAGCTATACGCACACGCTGCTCCTCGACGGAACGGAGCCACAGAATTTTTGAAATGTAAAGGCACGGGGAAGCCACCCAAAAAGCTTCAAAGACCTTAGTTGTTTTCATGCCCTTGTACCAAAGCAAACCCATATAACGCCTTTTCAAAGTAGTGCGACTTTGCCGGCTGCGTTTTACCAGTATGACTCTGATGAAAATCATATTTGCCAAAGCCCGACCGAACTTTCGGGGACCCTATTCAGGAATAAAGTTGTTTGCCACACACACGACGCGGCATGCGCGGCGGGCAGCAATACTGCGGCGCGGTCGCTCCAGTTCCGGGTCCAGTTAAAGCAGCCGTCTGGATACGGTCCCTGTCGCTGTGTTTCAATGGCTCCCCTCCCCTCGCTGCGTCACTGGGAATTATTCTGTGCCATGGGCGATAGAGGGCAGAGGCAGCGGAGACCAACTGATGATAAGAATTAATGTTGGTTTCACGGTCGGGCGACTTCCTTCTGCTGGGAGGGGGCGCTCGACGCTCTGCTAAAGGACCCCGTCGAGGACCTCTCTTTGCGCCTCGAGTACTCGGCTGTCAAGTGCCGGATCGAGCGGAACCCTCCGTTGTGGAGGACCAGCCCCCCTGATCGCCGTGCCAACAGGCGTGGCACACCACCAACAACTGTGCACCTCCACGTCGAGTCCATGTCCAACTATAAGGAAAAGTTTGACGTCGCGCGCGCTCTGCAAGGTGCGAGGCGGGGGGCCAGGAGGGCGCAGGCGCTGGAGGGCCGCCGGCCGGGCGCAGCTGCTAGGCGGGACGGCCTATCCACCCGGCTGCAGGCGCCCTGGCCCAGCGCAGCCTAACGAGCGAGGAACGAAGCACGACTCATGGCTCACGGCTCAGGGAAACCCGCCAAGTGGAAACTCCCGATTTTCATTCTACTTTGGCAAATTGTTGGTCTAAATGTGTCATCGAAGGACACACATTAAAAAATCTAGCTTAAATTCATAGGTGTTATTTTGGGCTGCTATTTCAACTTTTTGTTATAATTTTCAAAATTACTTTCCTTCAGGTAAAACGTCCAATTTCGAGCTTCTGGGTGTAAATTTCACCCGTGTTGCTCTATCTTAAGCCGTCGTTTTGGCGATATACTGCCACAGTTAGACAGGGAAATGTTGGGTGTGGTGTACAATGCGGTAGTAGGCCAAATGTGCATTTTTTTCGGTTTGCACAGATTTGTCAGTCTGTTTCAAACTATTTCACAAAACAACTGAAAGGATTTGTTTTGGAATTTACCATGTAGTGAAAACAACGACATTGACCCTATTTGGCTTTCCTCAATGGATTCCAGAGAGGCCTCGCGAAGCCCTGGACCCTATTGGCATTCGCTCGACTATCCTGCCCAGGACAATGCTGCTGTTGAGAGGGATTCCGTGCGTGAACAGGCCATACCCCCCGCGTCGCGTCGTCACCGTGCGCCCCGTTGAATGTGAATGTGCGTCTGCTGTTTCTGTCCCCCTTCCAACCCATTCGGACTCATGGCCCGATACGTATGACCTTCCATGACCCGAGGCACCTCGAGCCCCGCGTCGTCAGCCCGTCGTGGCCCTGGGCCGCCCTGGGCCGCCTCGGCGCCCCCTGACCTGCGATACGGCGCGCGCCGTGACCTTGGGTCGCCCCCTCCCCCCACCGCACGCTATTACAGGTGCACTCGCTCGCTCTTTTGAAGCTCCGATATCAATTGGAACTCAGTTGGAAAGCGAGGAGAAAAGAATCGGCTGAAAGCGGTGTGTGATAATAAGACACATGGGATAAGTGGGCTGCACCAGGCAGTTATCACATTTATTCCTCTCATCTACACGAAACTCAAAATTAAAACGGTGAGAGATGACTCGGGTTTCATAGTGACACACACTATGGCGGAAAGACGACCTGCACAGCTCTCTGAAGAAAACTGAATGAGCACTCAGAAAAAAACAGTTTCCATAAGTAAACATTTGTGAAAATAATCATTACAAAGACACAATGTGTTACAAGTGCAAATTATTTGTGGAGCAAAATGAAATTATGTTGTCACAATGTCCACATAGCTAGGAGTAACGAGCGCGTTTACGTTTTTCGAGTACAAAATGTCATTTAGTAAATTCGAACGAACAGTTTAATGTCTAGGTATTACTTGTGACAAACAGCAAATGCTTTGATCTTGCAACGAATTAGTTTTCGTCACCCAGTGAGAAATGCATGTCGAAACGATGTCGTTCCGACGTCGATTCGACCAGTTTTCCATCGTTTCGATGTCGTTTCGACGTCGATTCGACTTGTCATTTCTCACTGGGTATTACAAAAACAATGTAGATGTGGTGACAGATTCCCGTTTTTCTGTACACTGCATTGAGGTTGAATTTAGTAAAGTTATAACGGTACGTGAATCATCTATTTTTTAAAAACATTTGAAAAGCGTAACGCTGTGGAGACCGTTTTCCGCCGAGTATTCAACCGTCGTCTTTCCCAAAAAGAGGCACGTAGACTAGCCTTGTTCTGACTAGAATCAGTTCATCAAGCAATAACACACATTATCACAAATATCATCCATGCTCCCGCATGGGAAATGCTTTGTACTTTATTTTACTAGCGTGGAAGTTGAGCAAGTTCTTAGGTTCACAGATCTCCGTGAACAAACTTCTATACTTCCGAATAGGATGCAGTTTAGCCTCAGAATATTTTTAACAACAGACCACACACCACAATACTCATTAACACTCATTCCATACTCATTTTATATCAAAGTAATCGGCAAGGATTCATCAATGAGCTACTTCTTTAAAATATTTTGTTTTTCTGCAAAGTGCGAATTGGCACAATATCCGATTGGACTGACTTTTCTTTGAAACCGAATAATTTACATTGTATCCTGAACTGGGGGATCTCATCTAAAAATACATGTAACATATCAAAGTAATAAATATAATAAGCGTTTAGACGAGCCAGAAAATTTGTAATCAATTCTTTAGATAATTTGTCTACTTCATGTTGAGCATCGACATGATATGGTTTTATCGATTTCGGAGACACTAATACGAACGAATCGTTGCCAAATCTATCAGGCATTTCATCCAAAAATTCTCTGTCCGTACAAAATGGAAGATTTTTTGATATAAAATTATTTGCGCATATGAGAACAAAACCAGCCAGCAAATGGTAACTCCAGTAGACGTATATAAGCTATCGAAGCACGGAAAAGGGCGTTTATGTCGACATAGTGGACGGGTATAGTGATAATTAATGGCGACATTTCTCACAATTTCTCGAGATTGGAACATGAAACGCGTCGTATGATACGTACATTATACGTCGTATTATACGTCGTACATTATATACATTATGTATCCTCCAACAGCTTTAAATAAATAGGCAAGGTTCTCAACGACAGTTGACTTGACCATCACAATAAAATGGAGCCACGTGTAATCTAGGCCTAGAGCATTGATGTTGCTTGGGGATTTTATCTCCGAATATTACATTAAATTCGAATAGTTACTTTGATTAGTCAAACCGTTTCGTGCCCGTCACATTGACATCATTTTGACATTAACTTGATATCCAATTGCTGGCTGGGAAGTTTTACATGGCATAATTCAGTACGTCTAACAGATTTTTAACACTATTTTGTACAGTAGGTGGCATGTAAATTTTACGCTCTTGGACTCTCCTCACAAAACTTGAATGTTCAATATTAAACCTGAATATGAAAATCGTGATAAATGGAAATATGACTTATCTAGGCAGTATAGGGGGCCGTAGATAAATGTATGATAGACCAACGACAATAATACGAGTAGCATAAATGGCTTCATGGGGCCATTTGTACTACAATTATGCGGTGTAAACAAAAATTCAAACCTTTCATAATACTATAAAAATAATGTGGGAAATAGGCCTTCGACGTTTCGATCGACGAAGCAAAATTACAGGGCGGAAACTACTTATTAGAGAACACCGTGACGAGTCCTACAGGGGCGGTGCACGCAAAACCGCCCCTCTAGTTGGTCACTACCCTCTTAAAAATAGCAAAACGATGCGGCGTATCACTTTGGACGTTCACACGAGGAGCGAGAAATAATGTTCGTATCTTTTTTCTAAAGTTTCTGTTCTCTCACATATACGAAGTAACGTATCATCATCACATCATAAAGCAGCTCGGGAAGCAGCGGTTGACGAGCTTCTTGAAGGCACGCCGGAAGTCAAGGTTAAAGATGGTGTAAATAATAGGATTGAGGGCTGAGTTGATGTAGCCCAGCCAGGTGATGAAGTTGATGAACTTGTCCGTGGGGCAGCACGAAGCGCAGAAGGGCAGGATGACGTACATGAGGAAGAAGGGGAGCCAGCAGAAGACAAAGACTCCCATGATGATGCCCAGGGTGCGGGCTGCTCGCCGCTCCTTCGACAGCGAGATGCGCTGCTTCTCCTCAATAAACTGGAAAACCTGGAGTAAAAAATGTAGAGAGACAAAAATGAAAAAATTGAGGACATCTCTCGCTATGAAAAAATACCGGTACCCTGCTTTGCTTACTTGTGTCGGTCTCTTGGTGACGGGTGCGGGAGCGGGCGTGGGGATGAGCACGACGCACGGCGCCTCGCCGTCAGCCGGGCCCGAGGCCGGGGCCGAGGCCGGGGCCGAGGCCGGGGCCGCCTCGCGCTGACTGGAGTCCCTGGAGCGGGTCCACGGTAAAAAGAAGGTCTTGAAATCCCAGGAAATTTCTGGGATTTCAAGGTTAGGTGGATAATTTCAAGATTGGCCCTTGAAATCCCAGACTCTGTCTTGAAACCCGTAGCTTCCAAGGGAAATCCTTGGAATTTTCGTCTGGTATTCAAGGGTTTTCCTTGAAGTATCCAGATCGTGCTTCAAGGAAAACCCTTGAATACCAAACAAAAGTTCCAAGGATTTTCCTTGGAAGCTACGGGTTTCAAGGCAGAGTCTGGGATTTCAAGGGCCAATCTTGAAATTATCTACCCGACCTTGAAATCCTAGAAATTTCCTGGGATTTCAAGACATTCTTTTTACCGTGTCTGGCTGCCCGTCGTGTTGGTGGCGCACGAGTCCTGCTCGGCGCCGGCCGGGGTCGGGGCCAGGGCCGCGCCCGGCGGGTGGGCGCTCGGCACGAGCAGCTGGTTGGCGTGGACCCCGCCGCCGTCCTTCCAGAACTTCTTCTTGCCCTTCTTCCTGCGCTTCTTGGTGTCCCGGCGGAAGCTGCCGCTGTGCTCGTTGTGGTTGGTCTCGGAGCTGACGGACTCCTGGTCGATCTGGCCGCCGCCGCCGCCACCGCCCTGCTGGCCGCCCTGGTGGTGGCCGCTGGCGTGGTGGTGGTTGTGGTGGTGGTGGTTGTCGCTGGCCGAGGCCACGGTCTGCCGCACGGCGTTGAGCTTGGAGGCGCGCGCGCGGTCCCGCAGCCGGCGCCGCGTCGCCACGAAGATGCGCGCGTACACGCCGCTCATGATGACGAGCGGGATGTAGAAGGAGCCGAGCGACGAGTACACCACGTAGCCGCGCTGGCTGGTGAGCTGGCAGGGCGTGTCGGGCTCGAACACGTCGGGCCAGTCGTTCCAGCCGGCGAGCGGCGGCGAGCAGATGATGAGCGAGAGCCCCCACACGAAGGCGATCATGAGCAGCACGCGGCGCAGCGTGCGCTTCTGCGCGTAGTTGATGGGGTCGGTGATGGCCCAGTAGCGGTCCAGCGCGATGGCGCACAGGTTGAGGATGGACGCGGTGCAGCACAGCACGTCGCACGTCAGCCACAGCTTGCACACCCACATGGGGAACACCCACTGGCCCGTGATGGCGTACACCACGTTCAGCGGCAGCACCAGGATGGCGACCGTCAGGTCGGCCACGGCCAGCGACACGATGAAGAAGTTCTGCACGATGCGCAGCGGCGTGTAGCTGAAGACGCTCAGGATGACCAGGACGTTGCCGACGATCGTCACGACGATGATGGAGAGGAGGGTGACGGCCGTGAGCACGGCCTCCCACTCGGCCACCGCCAGGTCCACGTCGAACAGGTAGCTGCGGTAGCGGACGTGCTCCGGCTCGGGGCAGCCGACCGCCGCCAGGAACGGGTCGTCCGTCGCGTTGAAGACGGCGCTGTCGTTGAACACGGCGGTGAGCAGGTCCGGGGCCGCCGTGGCGCCGGGCAGCACCAGGTCGTCCAGGTGGTCGAACCACTCCATGGCCGGGCTGGGCGCGACCTGCAACACACGGGGAGAGCGTCGTGGTGAGCGACCCAGCACCTCAGCAATGCTGAGCATGTCACACTGCCTCGCCTCAGTGAGCCTCCCCAGCACCGTCCCTACATTATTTCGACGCTCAATTCCATCCCCCCGTGAGCCGAATACACTGTAAATATAGGGCGCCTAACATCCGGGATGAGAATATGAATAATAGCGCGCGGGGGGCGCCTTGGTCGCCTCTGGTGGACACGTGCGCGGGGCTGTGCGGGGCGGAGCCGGCAGAGCAGCGGCAGACGGACTGTGGTGGGCCAGGTGAGGGACTTAATGAACGCGGTCGGGGGTTCGGGGGGGATGAGGGTAACGAGGGATGATTGGGGTGGCGTGCGAGAGGCCGCCGGGTGTGGAGGACCCCGAGACGAGCGGTGTGCCAGAGCGGCAAACGGCGCGCGGTTCATTTAGATCGAGGGGGGAGGGGAGGGGAGAGTTTTCCTAATAGCCCTTTTTATGCCGAGTCATTGAAAAGGAGAGGGGGTGAGGGACGAATCGCGTGAGGTGGGGAACAGTGTCTGCAGTTCAAAACGGACTGCATACTGATATCAGCCCCCCTGCGAGCCGATGGGGCCAGGCCGGGCCCGGGGCGGCCTGTTCTCGCGGCTCGCGGCCGGTCCCCGGCTGGTCCCCGGCTGGTCCCCGGCTGGTCCCCGGCTGGTCCCCGGCTGGTCCCCGGCTGGTCCCCGGCTGGTCCCCGCGGTCCGCTGGTCGATACCGTACACCGCATGACCGCCGGGGTAATTGCAGAGCGCGACCGTCGCGGCCGTGACCGCCCCGCACCGCCCCCAGCCTGCTACTTACTTTTTTTTTTCTTTTTAATTTGTCACCGGCGTCTTTTTTAAAACGGCTCGGCGCTGCCCCACCAAGTGCGCCACGTGGCGACTCGGAGACGCTGTGCAGGCTGGTGGCGGGCGCCGGCCAGCTCGATAGAAGTGTCCTCGGCCATCGCTCGTCGATGGACGCCTGCCGGCCTCTAGGCTACGAGCAAGAGAGTCGCAAACCCAGCAAGGCGTCGGTCGATCGAGGCATCATGTTTGACAAGGCTACTCGAAAATCTTATACTCCGTTAAGAATTTGGTCGTTGTTTTCACGCTGCACTACCCACCACAACCCACGAACTGTTGCATATCCATCCAGCCTTTTTAGCAGATGATACCTTAAAAACCTTTCGACTATACGTAAAGAGTAAGTGCCTGTCCGGCTGAGTGTCGAGTCGTCGAGTCGGATGCGTCGTTATGCATGAACCGAGAGACTCGAACTCTGGGCTGAGAAGTATTGAATCTTTAACACACTAACTGGATTTTTGTCTTCTATTTGTACGAATTCAAGCAACCAAATTTTTCGCACACATTCCTGCGTTGATTTGGACATTTTTCTGCATTCATTTGTAGGAAATCATGCACTTTTGCGTACAAATTTGTGCGAAACTTAAACGTAGGTTTTAACATAGTGCGAACGTTTGCACACAAACATACAAATACATTTAGTGTGAATCTGAAATAACGTTTGACCAAGAAGCTCGAACGAGCGACACCATGGGACTGTGGTACTCTTGCAAAGGGTTTGGACAGAACTCTCCATAGCGCTGCATAAGTGGGACGAATTAGAGACATGGACGGCATTTGCATAAGGTCATGTCTGCTCAACAACAGGCGTGTCTGTGCAACACAAGACGTACGGGAGGGCGTGCGCATGAGCGGCGCTGCGGTGCTGAAGACGAGCGTGCCGCGAGCCTTACGCCACAAGACCACCATAACTACTAACAAACAAAGCATCCAAAGCATGTCGTACACATTTCCTAAGATTAAACTGACGTAACGTCTGCACTCTGAGAAGTTTTGACTGGACAATGCAAAGATAGCTTCGTAACCAATGTGAAAAATCGTCATACGTTTTCGAGGACATTTTTCATGATGTTTCGTATAATTATACAATTTGGAAATTGTAAATTTACAAGTACTTGTTAACGCCTTGATTTATCGACAAGTAAGAAATGGGCTGTCGGAAATGTAGATCCTATTTTGTAAATAAAAATTGCCACCAATGTTCGACGGAGATATATTTTACAGTGAGCCTACATCGAAAAAGGGAGCATCCTGGCCTGCGAAGCAATACTTTGAAATTCCGAAGTGCCTGTGAGGAAGGCAGTCCGGCTGGGAGCCTCTGCCGGCTCTCCGCGGACGCTCGCCTCGTCTGGGATGGCCGGCACGCGCCCCCGGGATGGGATCCTCACAACGCCGACCCGCGACGCCCTCCCGGACCAGTTGGTTGTCGCGATTACTATTTGAAGAAACAGATCTACAAAACGGTCGAGGACAGGAGAGGGCGGCGGCGGCGCACGGGACGCTATTCGCACGACAAACACAGCGAACAACCACTGCGAGCAGCGACGGCGAGTCTGTGTGCTTTTGAGATGAGGGGGAGGGGCGAGGGACGAGGGGCGGCAGGGGAAGGGAGGGAGCGGTAGGGGGCGCTCATACCACAACCGCAATGTGTGTGTGTGTGTGTGTGTGTGTACCTGTGAGTATGTTTGCCCCCCCCCCCCTCCCCTTTTCCTCTTCCAATCCAAGTCAACAATACTTTCAAGAGGAACAGATTATTTGTCTGGTGTGTCCGGGAGATGAATGAGTTGCTGTTGTGGCAGGTGGTGAAGGGGTAAAGTATGAACAAGAAACTAAATAATGGCGGAGGAACAATATGTCAGTTTTGCAAATATT